AAGTAGCATAGATTACAGGCAACAAGCCAAATACTGAGTAGCTTACTACTCACTGTGATGTACATCATACACAACTAGCCAATTACTGGGTACCTTACAAACCCCAAGTAACATAGATCATAGGCAACTAGCCAAATACCGAGTGACAAAGATCAAAGCCAACTGCCCAAATACTGGGTGGCTAGTAACATGGACACTACTAAATATTTTTGTGACATGCTAGGTTATTCTTTCTGTATCAATATTCTTCACTGTTCAAACATGAAACATGAATATCAAATGCTTTCAGTGTAATAACTCCTTTTCTTTTCTTGAAATAATAGTCTGCTATATTATTTCAACATTAAATACACACTTAACAAATATTTTTCCAATAAAAACAGAGGTGGCAATATATGATTGCATGGCAGGAATTTCAATAATTTTTAATTCTAAAGAATATACAACAAAATATTTTTAACCCCTACTGATCTATATTTAATAGAAGATTTCAGGAAGTGTAATTTATTTTTTCAGACTCCAGTACAATAATCAAAAGCTTGTTTTAATAATTTTATCAATATGGGTCCAAAGCAATTTATATTTTTCATATAATACTTCTAGTGCAGGTTATTAGGCTCACTATATGAGCTGTGGTTAATTATATGTCTTGATGGAAAAAATGTTATGTAAAAAGTCCACATTTAAAAAAAAAATTGTGTATACTCTTTAAGACACTATTCTTCATTAGAAGTGAAAAACAACAACCTTTCTTTAAGTTTTATGCTAGTGTTCAAATGTAACGACTAATATCAAAACCTTACTTTTTTTTAATCTTTCTATTGAACAGTTTATATCTGAAGTCTGATGTTTGAAATTATAGTTTTTTCCTCAAATGAATTTAAATTGAATTACATTTCAACATTTAATAAAACTGATAATTATACTTCTGTGCTAGTTCTAGAGACAAACTTGGTTGAAACAATTTATTCAATGTTTTGACGTAAGAAACAAATGGACATGTAGTATATTAATATCAAGTTATGATTAGTTTGCATCACTAGAATTATTTTCTGATCTGACTATATCTAATAGTGGGTAACAGTTTTAATAACATCAAATAATACAAGAATAAATTTCTATTTACAATCAACAAAAAACCCTATTGTGGTAGCTATATCATAAAATGACAAAAGGATTGAGTCACATTCTAAAATACAAATCATTTTCTATTACTCAGTGATTTACAACAGTCCAAACCAGTCTGTAATACTTCACAAACATATTCTTATTATTAAAGAAACAGAAAATGCTAACATTAGTCACTTTTGCTAACTTGCAATTTACCAACATTCTGTATTAACATACCTTGTCACTAAGTTTCTAACACTTATAGTAATCAGGTAAAAATTTTAGTATAACTAATAATTGAAATTTGTTAATACCATATTTAATATACCCTTATGTTAATATAGGTTCTACTCAATCATGAAGATCCCTAGTGTTAATATAGGTTCTACTCAGTCAGGAAGATCCTTAATGTTAATACAAGTTCTAGTAGTCAAGAATATCTTTGTGTTAATATGGTTCTTTTTAGTTATGAAGATTCTTGTGTTAATATGGTTCTTGTTAGTTATGAAGATTCTTGTGTTAATATGAATACTTGCTAGTCATGAAGATCCTTAATGTTAATATATGTTCTTGCCAGTCATGAAGATCCTTAATGTTAATATAGGTTCTAGTCAATCATGAAGATCCTTAATGTTAATATATGTTCTACTCAGTCAGGTAGATCCTTGTGTTAATACAAGTTCTTGTTAGTCATGAAGATCCTTAATGCTAATATAGGTTCTACTCGGTCAGGAAGATCCTTGTGTTAATATGAATACTTGCTAGCCATGAAGATCCTTGTGTTAATATGAATTTAGTGAACTTTAGCCAGTCACAAATACTTTTGTATAAATATATGTTTTAGTCCGTTGCTCACATTCTTGCTATTATATATGTAATAATATATGTTCTACTCAGTCAGGTAGATCCTTGTGTTAATACAAGTTCTTGTTAGTCATGAAGATCCTTGTGTTAATATGAATTTAGTGAACTTTAGCCAGTCACAAATACTTTTGTATAAATATATGTTTTAGTCCGTTGCTCACATTCTTGCTATTATATATGTAATAATATATGTTCTACTCAGTCAGGTAGATCCTTGTGTTAATACAAGTTCTTGTTAGTCATGAAGATCCTGTTACAGCATAACCCCTACCCCCATGGCTGTAAGGGCAAGCATGTTTAGCAATGTGCTTTGATCCCACAGATTGTAAGTACAGCATCCTAACCAGTAGGCCATGCTTGATCCAACCCTGAGTGGAAAATACATATAAGGGGTTTTATTTCAGATGACCCTATTTTTATTTTCATATATTGTAGAGAAACAAAACTAATAAAACTTTGAGTTAGTTACAAGACAGAGATCTAAATCAAAACTGATATTTTGAGTTAAAAAATGTCAATTCCCTTCAGACTTATATAAAGTTAATGAGAATCAAAAATTAACATTACAATGAATCTCTTCTTTCATGTCCATCTGGACCATAAGAAGACTATTTAAGTCAGCAATTGTAATCTTACAATCCCTGTCCTGAAAAATTCCAGTAAAACTAAAGAATTTCAGACTAATCTCACAAAACTTGTTTTTTTACAATACTTTTAAAATGATAATTACCAGTTAACTTCATTTTAGAACTCACTATCTGGAAAAGTTCCAAATAATATTAGGAATTTAAGACCATGAATACCTGAGAAGAGCACAGAAGCACACCAGTTAATAACAAGTTAATCTTGCAAGTCTATATTATCACTGCACAGTTTCCAAAATTTCATTAAAAATGAGAAAGATTATCTAAAACTGATATTTTGATTATATGTTCTATACTGTTCGTTGTATGATATTCTCAGTCACCATTTAAAGAGCTACTGTTTTGTTACATCGTTATGTCTTCACATGTTGCAATACGTTCACATTAATATACATATGAAAGACTTCTCACCATTTTTGAAGTATGCCCTGTTACTTCATTTGAACACCTTGTAAAACTTACATTAACCTTAACTTGCTATTCTGTCATCTCTGAAGGTTGTGATTACATTCTGTATACGTTTTCACAGTTTCACCAGAGTTTTCCAAGGCCCTGGCTTGTATTTCTGTTAAGTGTGAAGTATCATTCTTTGTTAGCTTGGGATCAAAAGTGCCATACTTCCATTTACCAGTGTTTTCTTTTGATACAAAAGTTGCTTTTTTGTTAATGTACAGTTCATTACTCTCAGTAAATGACTGACATATGTTATCTGATGAATTAGCATGGTCTGACTTCAAACAAAAAGCTTTTTGATTCTTCTCAGAATCTGAATTTCTATGCTGACAACTGCAAACAACAGTATCTAAAGGTGCAGCAGAGTCTCCTGTGATCTTTACTTGGTCTGCAGCAAGTGATATTCCAATAGGTCTTCCTTTTATCTTATTCTCATCTACCAATCCCAGATGAAAAACTGCTACAAGTGCAGCTGCCTGCTCTGCATTCTTTTTGTTCTTTTCTCTAAATGTATGAAAAACAGAAATTAAATGGAACACCCATCTGCACTGCTGACTGTGTGATATGATATTATAACAAAAAATGAAAAAAGGATGACTGAAAAAATCCAAAAAATTGAAAAATCATTTTTGAAATAGAATCAACAGATATGAAATGTAAAAAATAATAATTAATATTTGAAAAGAAAAAACTGCATTATTTGAAAGATATTTTGCTAGAAGAGAACAGTTAAGAATCATGGACAACCTACACACTAAGCTTATTCTTAGAGTTTGCATTATTAAAAGAATATATATTATGTAAAATCATAAAATTAAACTACTTTTCCCACAAATAAAACTGTCTTAGCCCTTTGATGTATGATAATACTACAACTACTGAAACAGTTTTTTTTAGTAATCAGATGGTTAGTCTATGTTTTTATTAAAATAAGAAAAACACAATCCTCTCATCTTTATTTTTCACTGTCAAAAAGAAATATCAATGACTACAGTAAGTAAAAAAAATGCTGCTTTAACAAAAGAATCTTCAAGTCACCGACATGGGTTGTCTAAATGATTCAAAAACCAATCCAACCAGTTAAGTGGAGGAAATACAACTTCTAGAAAGATTATATTATAGCAGTAGATGAGTTGACTCCAATGGATGAGAAGAATGAGAAAACGTAGTTTTTATTTAACCCTCGGTAAATACCATTTTATATATACAAAGATATATAAAGATTTCAAAATAATGGAAAGTCTTTTTGTATTTTGAGTTTCTAGGGGGGAATTGAAATGCTATAACATATACATGTTAAAAGATTGTGTTGAATTATGGGAAATTGACAGTGAAAATAATTTATTGTAATTGCACATTTGAGCATCCAGTCATGAAAACTGACACTGAGAGGGAAAAAATTATTTAATGAAAGATAATTAAGAAAATAACATTTACTAGTGTCATTACTTGGCCATTAAGAAATTATAACTTTCAAATTAGCTTAGAAACCTCTAAAGTGCTACAACAGTAACATTAAAAACCAGAAGATGTTATTAGGTTTAAACAATAAAAGTTAATAATCATTACATTGTAGTGCATATTTTCATTGTACTGATTAAAGGTGTTGTAACCTGACTGTTTAATGTACTGTATCTTCAGTAGTCTATTGTAATACACACGGTAATTTTATCTCATGAAGATGAACTGTACAGTTACAGAAATTCTGGAATACTTTAGCAACTGGTTGGTGTTTGGAATATGAATGCATATTTTAATAATATCTTTAAAGGGTAGACTTGTATTGCATAAACTCCTGGTCTATTTACAACCATTATTGTCACAAATAAACACACACGAGAAAAAACCATGATAAAATGACTGAGTATTTATTATTAACTTCCAAATTTAGTAGCTTTACTAACATTTACAATAATTTTCAGATGTACTTGAAAAGGAATTTGGAACATATGTTAACTTACAAATGAGTACTTGAGTATTTCTTTCCATTGACACTAACAACTGCCTTGAAGCTTTTTTCAGTCTGCTCCTATCAAAACAAAAAAATAAAATGAAATAAGGCTTGTGCCAAAAAGTGAACAACAAAAAACAAAAACAAATATCTCTTTTTGATTTTCTTTACTCCATAACAACTGCATGGCATTGGTTGTTTATCTCTCTATCTTATGGAAGAAAAACAAAAAGCTAAATGCCTAAAAACTGCATTTCACCAATTATGAAGAATACAGGAAATTAATCATAAGTAAACAAGGACAACAATACAGTTAAACTTGAAAAGTATTGTTTCAGCCATTAACATGATTTAGGCTGTCAGTTTACACAATTTTTAAAGCTACAATTGGGATATTTTGGTGAATCAATTTAAAAATTCCTTTAAAGGAGCCGAGTAGGTTTTAAGTTCAGGAAAATAAGGAACTGTTTAATTAGTTCATTCTTATGGACAAGTTACTCAGGTTGAGTTTAGTATAATGAGCAATGAAGAAGGAAAAACATCTTTAAAGCTTGTCCAAGTTATTTTGTTTCAGATATTGTGTTACTGTTGGTAACAATCTGAAATCTTTGATAAATCTTAAACACTATTACAGTTTCTGAAGAATACCTGAAGAAAAACTCATGAATTAAATTAAATAATTACAGTTTGATTGATTAGATCGTATAAAACAAAATGCAATTCTAATCTGACAGATATAAGCTTAACATCTGAAAACATACTGTACAAAAAATACAACATACTTATTTCTAAGCTATAAGGTTTAACCATATAACTGAAATTAGTTTGTGGAAATAGCTTTTGAGCTATCTAGAAGTTTGTATTTGTTAAAAACTAGTTGAGTAGTACAAAACTAAGCTTCATGTAAACACAGAAACAAGACAGCCTTAAAGGGTTATCTGTGCTTTGCCCACGATGGGTATCGAAACCTGGTTTCTAGCATTGTAAATGCACAAACATACCATTGTGCCACTGGGGGGAAGGTCATCACTGATTCAGATAGTTGCATAAATAATCAAAGATGTGTTATTTCAACTTTATTAATATAGAAATTGTACTGGAAAGGTCAAGCAGACAATGTTCTCACAAACTTTCAAAGAATACGTCATCCTTAGAGAACATTAGATGCTATTACTTTCATCACCAAACCTATGAGAAAGGATGATTTATCATGAAGTACAAGTTACAGTTGAACTCTCAACATGGAAAATATTTATAGTCTGAAAAATAATATAAATAGATATTTTCTGTGATCTGATAAAATACACACAAGTCAAACTAGGTACCTTCAATAAACAGAATAAATCTTTAAAGGGTAACAGACATGAGAAACAGATTATGTATATTAAACATTTTTGTTACTGTTTTTTACTTTTTCAGATGTTCACTCAGAGTTCCTCAAGAACAACACCAAGGACCATATTTGTGCTAACCATCCCTAATTTTTAACAGTAATTATGGCAAGGCAGCTGGTAAACAGCATTCACTGCCAACTCTTGGACTAACTAGTCTTGTCTGACCAAATTGTGGTACTTGACTTCCACCCTTATAAGGCACTTACAACATAAAAGTGTAGTGCACAATAGTCTTTATTTTTTTGAAGTAATTGAGCATGAATGATGGACCCACAATTCCGTAATCTGGCATTCTAACACCTGGGTGAGGCTTGCTCCCAGTTTCCTAAATTTAATGAAAAGGGTACACAAAAATATGTGGTTTTCAAGTAAAAATTGACAAACATTCACTAAAACTATCAAAGGAGCATGTATAGAGGATTGAGTACATTGTATTAAAATGATTCTGAATATGCAAGTCATGTGACAACCACAGCTGATATAAAGTTACAGCATAAAGGCAAGAGCAACATTCTGACATTTCATAGGTAGTGTAATGCTACCAAAACATTTATTGCATTGGAGAAGGGTATGTAACAGCCTTTTATCATGCAAAATATTTATACACTTAAATCATAAAGATGCATTCAGATTGGGGATCTAGAATTTTGGAGGTTATATGTTTTGAATTTAATGGCACATCTGTTGAACTGTCACATACCTCAAACACCTGGATAAAAAAAAATGGATATTCCTGCTATCCCAAACGAATACATACCAGATTTCTATGCTGGGAAACCAATGTCCTCTTACACTAGATGGGTTATGGAATGACAGCCTTATGATAGAGCCTTTTACAACAGTGACTATGCTTTAACGTTATTGACAAAATGCCCAGTTGTCAAGACACAACATGTGGTAATATGGACTACAAGGATGTAGTGAGGCTCCAAACTGTTTAATGTACTCAACCTCTGTATTTGTAAAGTAGCAAGAGAGTAAGGATATTATATCTTAAAATGTAATACTAAGATACTCCTGAAAAACAAGATTAAGGCTAATGTTTAGTCTTTTATTATTCAAGTGTACACATCAACACAAAAACAAGATTGAGGCTAATGTTTAGTCTTTTATTATTCAAGTGTACACATCAACACAAAAACAAGATTAAGGCTAATGTTTAGTCTTTTATTATTCAAGTGTACACATCAACACAAAAACAAGATTAAGGCTAATGTTTAGTCTTTTATTATTCAAGTGTACACATCAACACAAAAACAAGATTAAGGCTAATGTTTAGTCTTTTATTATTCAAGTGTACACATCAACACAAAAACAAGATTAAGGCTAATGTTTAGTCTTTTATTATTCAAGTGTACACATCAACACAAATGCCACAGGTTCCAAGTAATTATGATGGTTGTTTTCTATAAACCTACAGTTTAATCAACTTTTTATACACATAAATAATTGAATACTGTTCTATGTTTGCAACTACTTACAGTAATATAGCGTGGCAGATCACAACCATTTCTTCTTGTCCAGTCAAGCAAAAGACTCTTTGGTAAGTCGCTGAGATCAAACATGTTTCTAAAAATATATTTTTTCCAATAAAATATTTCACTATACACATTTAATATTCTGTTTTGATGAATCTCTTACATGGGCTGGGAGATTAATGACTCTTATTTATGAGATGCCAAACAGTTTTCTTGTCAAAGAGGATGACCCCCCCCCTCCCAAATGGAATATACTTTAAAAAATAATTAAAACCACATCTCTCACACCCAGATAAGTATTTAGTGATTTTACGTACAAGTAAATAAAAAAAAAGTTGTAAAGTAACTAAGAGCACAATCAACTCAGCTAAAAAAAATTTTTTTTAAATTAGCCCAATGAGAATAAATTCCTAAAACTTTTAATTTTCAGATTATTTTGTTGAATAAAGTTTCCCATTGTTTTTAATTAATTTTTCCTGGATTTCTAATCACATATGTGTAAAAACAGCATTTCAGAGTTATCTTATGTCTGCCCTGAATCAAGACTTTTTGCTATAAATATCATAGCTCAGAAGCATTTGGCATAAATCCAGTCCTTTTGATGATTTTTATACTACCCTGGACAGTGACTTGTGTCTGAAATTATATTTTTACAATTCTCTAACTAAAAATCAACAAAATCCACAAAGTACTAATTACAAGAATAGTTAAACAAAAAAAAAAAAAATACAAGTAAAATGTTTCATCTTTACTTTAACAGCCAATAAAACTCCAATGTTTCATCAAGAGGCATTTTACATCACCAGTTTCAAGAAGAAGCAACAATTAAGTTTAAATGTTTCTCACATTAAATTTTACATGGATATTATAATATGCAAAAATTAAGTAACAAAAGAGAATGAATCATACTGAAAGAAATGCTTAATACTCAAGTTACAATTTTCATTTAATTGTAATAAAATCAAGCCGTAAAAATAAATTCATTTATAATTGTGTTTTCTATAATTTATTTGTTTCAGTTCTTCATACACTTTAAATCAATTTCATTACAGGTACATAATCGATTTCCCGACACCCTTGGTTCCAGAGCCTTGCCGGATTATCCATTTTGCCGGACCAACAGAGGTCATGTAATAATAATTCAACAATACACTTCTGACCCACTAATTATACTTTACTTCTTTATATTGTAAACAGTTGATAAACCAATACCATACATATCACACAGTTTCCTCATGGAAACACCACAGTCAAGTTGTTTCAACAGTTCTACCTTGTCTTGTATCGATATGGACTTGTGCTTATGCTTGACACCATGACTGTCATTTGGACCTTGCTTAGAAGCCATAACTAGGGTTAGATTTAAACAAAATAAGCTAAGAATTGCACAAAACTGATGGATCACCACAACCAACTGCAGATGTAAACAATTAACTCTTTTGGGATGGAGGCACATGATGCCGTCTTTAAATTCTCTCTGTTGACATAAATGAAAATTTAATTAAACAATGCTCTTTAAACATTTTTTCAGAAAACTGTTATTTTCAAGTATATTATATATTGAATTTTCATACACTATTATCAACTTTCTGTGTTGTAAAAAATTGAAGAAAAAAATCGAAACTAAATATTTGTATCTTTTTAAACTACATATTCTTGGCAATATTCATGAAAAAAATTCAAGCAAGTTGATCCACCAGTTTAATATTTATAAGAAAATTTTCACGAAAGTGACATACCTACTTAAAATGTAAGTAGCCTGTCGCGAAAGAGCTCGCACCACACACAATGTCATCTGTGGCCACCCACTGAACTAGTCTGGCGGTCGCAGGAATTTCAAGTGCGCTCTCGTAATTTTGTCCAGATTAAAGGAGGTGCCAGACCATCAGTTGCCGGAAAATAGGTGGTGTACTGTATTATCTTTTATATTTATACTAAGACTTGATACCTGATAAATCTAGCCTCAAGTTCCCAAACTTCATCCTCGCCAATTTTTCTCCTTTTGAGGGTCAGCGTATCATCATTTCCCCTAGCGTGAAGCTTTCGTAACTTTTCTGCTCGATCTTCAAATTCTTTCTGTTTGGTCTGAAGATATTCTTTCATACCCCATAACTCACTAAAATCAATTTAATTTTAGTTAAGAATACACAATTTTAGTTTGTTTTCTTGTCTGATTCTTAATATTTTAACATTATAAAATTTGAAGAGAAAATGCTACATCATATATATAACACTCTAATACCATCCTGCCACACTCTCAATCAAATGTCATATTCATTAAGCATGAAATTTTGTTCACAGCTTTTCACAGAACTATATTTGAAGAACAGAATGTTTCATTATTTTGTAATTAAAAATAAAATACAGAAAGGGGCTCTACTTATCGTTCTTTGTATATGTTTACACAGCCATTTTTAAAAAAATTATATAGAAAATGTGCTTCTACTTCAAACTCCAAAATCTGTCTCCTGAAGTTAATCAATTTTGTAGGTTTTAACCCTTTCACTGCAGCTGAGACATATTTCCCAGTGATTCCTCCCTCCTCACACTGCAACTGGAACAAATATTTCCCATTGTCATTCAAAACTGCCACACGTGATGTATGGGGGTAAAATAAGTTGGAAAATATTTATTGGCATCCCACCTAAAGTTGATATATGGTTTCCCCTCAACGTTTTCCACTCAGCTCTTCAGTAACCAACAAGATGCCTAAGCGAAATGCACGACAAATACATGCTGACCGTGCCCACACCGCTAGAGTGGCAAGTAGTAACCTTAATTACTAGGTAAATATGCTTGATGAGGTTGACCCAGAATGCTTAGAAGATTGTAAAAGAGTGAGTCAAGTGGTGTTTAAATGCATGATGACGAAGAGGGAATGAGACAAGAAAATGCTAGCTCTCCATCTCTGGACCCAGCAGAGCAAGGCATAAACAGCATCGACAATGACAGACATTTGTCCCAGTTCCAGCGTGAGGGGGTGGAAGCACTGGGAAATACACATTCCAGCTGCAGTGAATGGGTTAAACATGTGATATTATATATCTTTATACATTTGTATAATTTCACTGGAATGAAAAAATAGAATAGTGACATTAAATAACTCTTAAGTGTTTCTATCAACAAACTTGAGCTATATGTCTCCTAACCTTAGAATACCTGCACTATTGGTGAGTCAAAACTAAAAAACAATTCCATTGAACTTTATGAACCATTTTTTGTATCTATACTGGCTCAATACTGAGTATGTTACTTTTTGATGCTATTAAGCCTAGGTTGTCTTACTTTGTCTCCTTTTGTACAGTTTATAATTGATTGAAAATTAATGATTAATAGTATGTGAAATTTTCATTATATATTAATATAAAGCAAAAAACATTTTTATTATAAATTATTTCATAATCTAAAAAACATACACATGCATATTTAATTGAAGTTTAATTAACAATCTAAAATCTTACGACCAACCAGTAGAAAAATGTACGTATATACAGATAACAGCTCTAGTATTAACATCTAACAACCAACCAGTAAGAAAATGTATGTATATACAGATAACAGCTCTAGTATTAACATCTAACAACCATCCAGTAAGAAAATGTATGTATATATACAGATAACAGCTCTAGTATTAACATCTAACAACCATCCAGCAAGAAAATGTATATATATACAGATAACAGCTCTAGTATTAATATCTAACAACCAACCAGTAAGAAAATGTATGTATATACAGATAACAGCTCTAGTATTAAATCTAACAACCAACCAGTAAGAAAATGTATGTATATACAGATAACAGCTCTAGTATTAACATCTACAATCCAGAAAGTATAAAATCTTTTAAATTGAAAAGTAAGGGTGGGCAAGATTCAAACTCTAACTTTGTTTACCAGACACAGCTCAGCTTCCATACATTAGTTTCTTAAAAACGTCTAGCCAAGAAGCAGAATCACAGGTTTGAATACTGCACTTTAGCAATATTCATGTTGTCAGAAAGGAGGACAAGTTAGATCAGTAACCAACAGCAAATATTACAATTAGTATCTCAAGAAAATACATAGAAAAAACTGAGTTCTTTACATTAATTTCATAACAATGGGGCCAATAGAAACAAAACAGTGATGGATGTTTACCATTTATCCACAGAAATTATAAAAAATTTACTTGAATGTTTGAAAGAGTTACAGGTTTCAATATTGCAATTTAACCCCTAGTTAAATAGTTCATTAAACTCATAAATTTCCCCAAATCTGAAAATTAACTGAATAAACTTTTTAATGTAAACTTGTTGTATTTAGTTTTTACTAAAGTTTTATTTTTGTCTGAATTTCAGGAAAACCTATTTATTATAACTAATGGAACCTAATTAGATAAATTTCAAATGATAAGCATAATTTAAGAATTAATAATATAACAGCTCAACTTAAGGAGGCTAATAATATATTGTACAGCTTAGTCACAATCACAAAGGCTATATAAAACTTGTTTCTAAAGTCTCTTACCCTACCATATTTCATGTACTTGCTGAGCATTTAGGAATGCTTTCCCCCTCAAAGTTTCTTGCAGTGAGCCTAGCATTTGTTGAATACAGTATTTGGTATTAATCACATTGTTGTCATAGTCTATGGCCTAAAAGAGAAATGCCATTTAGACATAAACAAAGGAAAAACACTTTATAAGAAACAGATACATCATTTTTTCTTATATTTAATTTTAATAAGACTTATACTTGAATGATTTAGAATGTACATCAAGTTCCATCAAAAAAATTTATGAATGAAATATTCTATAAATTTTACATAAAAAACAGGTATATTTATTTCTTTTACCACATAGTTAACTATTACTTAAAAAAAATAGTAACCTTTTTTTCTGATAAATGTCTGGAAGCCAAATCACAGTAATTACTTTAATAATAATCTTAAAGCCAGATTAATAGCTTAATTTACATAGCTATGTATTGGTTTTTTAATCATTATTACTTATTTATTAGTTTTAAATTGTTTCAGTGGTTTTCAGGATTCACTGAATCAGTCATAAGTCAGTTGGCAGGATGTAAAACTTGTTATTGGTGATTACTCTAAGCTACACTAACCTAAAAAAAATATACATATTTTCATCGGAAGCCTCATTCAAATAGTATTCCTTTTCTTTCCTGTGTCCATCTTTTAAAGATAAACTGATTACACTTCTAATTTATTCTTTGGGGTAAGTGGCAGAGAAGAACTATAACAAGTTATTAATCTGCTTAGTTTGAGCTAATTAGTCCAGAAAAGGAAGAGGGGGACATTTTTGTTGAAAAAAAACTACCCACTCCAGTTCTTCATAATTTAAACTGAAATTTTTTAGAAATTTTTATTGGCTAAAAAGAAAGCATTTCCCACACACTTTTACTGTTGGGGCTACGAAAAGTGATTTGAAGTGGTGGGGTGACTGAAATTTGTCAGCCCATCATGAGCTTAACGGCCAAGCACAAGAAGCATGGATGTCTCTAAATGACATGCAGAGGTATTCAGGAATCGTTTAGAACCACCTTGGTAGATATTGTGCAGCAATCTGAGTATAGTATTATATCTATAGCTGCTTTCAAAGTGTTCCTGTCTGCTCAACCTACTGCTAACTCTTGTATTGCCTCGACCTTCCCTACCAAATTGCAGGAGAAATTGTTCATATCTCAACTGAAAGCTAAAAATAAAAAGCTGATAGCAAAAACATAACAAGTTGGTAATTGCTTAATTAATGATGATGAGATTGTGACTTTATTGATATACATATACTGAATTTACTCTCAAATTTGTCTCAAGGTTGTCTTGAAAAAATATGTCCAAACCTATCTTCTTTGGAAGTTTCTGGATTGAACATACTTTTAATATTCAACATACCCCTTGGCTCCTGAGGGATGTGTTAACTTGTCAATTTTACTTTATCAGTTATCTGGCCAAGATGGAGTAACCATACTGACTTTTAAAATCTGGTTACGGTTGATATTTTTTGTATAACAATATGACAGACTAAGTCTAATCTTTCATTATACTGTGATCAAGTTTACTCGTAAACCAAACTGTTACTCACATAGCCATTAGTAAGACCTCAGTTAACTCTTTCACACCCAGATGGACAAAATTTCATCATTGAATTAAAATAATCATGCAAAATAAACAGTTATTATTATACAGATAAAAAAAACTTCAGAGTTGAAATCTATTTAAGAAAAAAAAGAATTTTGCTTATCTACCTATACACATAAATAATTTTTAAAGTCAAAATTTTTTATTAGGGGTTGATTTCAGAAAGCTTCCAATGAAATCATTAGTGTTTGTAAATTTCCTGATTTTTTTCTGAGCTCCATAGAGGCAAAATTATAATATCTTTGAACAAACTTTAAAAGAAAGTGTACTTTTATCAATTTTTAGCTAATAACTATTTCCCAACCTTGGTTGTCATGGTGTAATATAATTGCCTATATCTCAGCTTCAAGAAACTATAGATTAAAGCTCTAAACCTGTTAAGAAAGCTGTTTTTTCAATCGGTTGACTGTAAAGCTAATAAAGCTTCCGGTTCAGCAGAGATCTGTGTCAAGAATGGAACCAATTACTTAGCTTCATAACATGTTGCTAGAAAAAAAAAGTGTTTGTGAACAGCTTCTGCTACAATTATAGTTAACCATTTATTTTTGTAGCTTGGTTTATCATTTTATACTTCATTTGAATTATGATGTTGCAGTGAGTATGGAAAGAGATTTTTTTTGTGTGAAACAAGATGAGGTAAGCTTAGTTAAATCATTCTGTACTCAACCATGTCAAGGTTCATTTCAGCAGAAAAGCTATTGTGTTAGGCCTTGTTTACATTAGGCTTTATCAGCCTAAGTAACTGATTGAATGTGTAAAGAAAATCACTGATATAAAATGTAAAAATATATATATATATATATATATGTATAATGGCTACTTATTATTTTGGTATGGTAGATAAATTGTATTGAATGCCAGTGATTATAAGCACAATAAAACTATGGGCTTTCTTTTTCAATTTACAACTTGAAAGTTGCAAATTCATAGAATTATCATGTATAAAAATAAGATATTTTATTTGCTAAAGCTAAATAATCAGCAAAAAAATAATTCTGAAGTTTCAAACTACAATACAATAAAACAAATAATAGACTAGGTGTGTGTGTTAATACACCATGGATCTCATAGAGTTCATGGAATTTCTATCAAAATTCTCCACACAAACAAACTTATTTCACATCTTTAGGCTTTGAAGTATATCAAATATACATCATTTTATATTTTTATATAACCAAACTTAATGATTTGAAATTATTTTCCTGAACATTTCTACAGTAACTAAAATAGCATGAAAAACTGCCATGTTATAGTTTTTAAATGTATAAGCTCGATTTAGTGATTTAAGCCTTTCTAGACTTTTAGTTTTTTAACATAATGCAGGTGAGCAACACAGTCTATCACAATTTAAAAAGCAGAAAACTATTTATTACATATGAAATGTAACAACTGCTAGAAATATACAACGAGTTAATAAAATTGTATTATGCAACATTAAATATTTGCAGATTATATAACTTACATATTTTAAATACGCTAATATGATTTCATCAAGTGGAAGTTTGCCTTCGGGACGAAAGATTGAACAATTCCATTCAGCCTGTCGAGCAATCGCAACCGAAGAAGCATTAGTTGCCCTTCGGAACTTTTCTATATCTGAGTAGCAAGAAATTTCTCCAGAACCACCACTAGAGAGCATGAGACCAAAAAAATTAAAACTCCTAACACCACAAGTCTTCATAATTAATTTTTTCAATAAAATATATTTTCTAAAAGGTTATGCTCAAAACATATTTAACAGTTGAAGCAATAAATAGTTCTCCTAAAGTTCAGTACCATATCAAAAAATTATAGAAGTAAAGGCAATCAAGATATAGTATATAAATAAAGAATAATTTAAGACATTACAGTCTTGCAAACAAATATTAAAATTCAAAGCAATTCTAAATATACATACAATACTGACATAGGAAATGGGGAAAAGGAACTGAAATAATAAGCAAATAAAAAATAAAGTATTACTATACAAGCTTCAAAGCAAAAAGTAACCCCAAAAAAGTAGTATGTATGTTCATTTTAATTGATTTGTAAAGTGATGAAAGCTTAGTCTATTCCAAACTGTTGCTTTGTTCAAATACTTACTTAGCTATTACTGGTATGGACAATGCTGCAGCAACAGCCTGAATTACATGAGTTCTGTTTTGATGTTGCGGCCTTTCTTCTTTAGTTCTACCATGGACTGTTAGTGCTGCCACTCCAGTGCTTTCAATGAGTTTAGCTAGAGCTATTGTATCCTCCAGCTAGATAATATCAAATTCAATTGTTTCACACAGTAATATATAACTTATGTTTGGCTAAAGAGATAACAATATAATAATCTCCTGCTGTGTGATATTAAGTTATAAAATAAGAGGAGAAACCAATTACAAAACTTATAACAGCTCTCTAGCATAACAGATTCAATAGAAGGAAAAGCCAAGTCTACATATTAATGAATATGATTTTATATATGAAAATCCTACTCATTCTAGAATCTCCTAAAAATGTTAAAAATGTGGCACACTTACATTAAAAATCATTGTCTTGTACAATTTATCTTCACTTGTCTTTAAGTACCACAGAAAATTAATCATTATTATTATTATTACTGTTTCTCAGTTTGCTAAAAAGTAATTTAGAATTATTTTTTATAGTTAAATTCTCAAACTGCCCTTTTTTGCTCTTTACTTATTATTTTGGAAGAAATCATAATGGCAATATTTTGGTTATTTGGAAGAATAATCCAAAACAATAACTTTAATTAATTGATTATTTTATATGACATTAATCAATGTTTACTGATAACTGATTATATCAATTAACATAGTCAATCACCTAGCTTTAGTTCTGACATATAAAGAGATGTATGACAAATCATTAGCTGTGTAACTGTTACAGAAAGAGATGTTACACAATTCACTAGCTTTGTTACCAATATAAAAAAGAAAAAAGAGATTTAATAAGGTCTGTTGCTTTTGCAAAAAAGAGGTTTAACACAAATCATTAATTTTTTTATTGGAAGAAAGATATTTAACATAAATCATTAGTTTTTTTACTGGTAAAAAGTGATTTAACATATATCACCCACTCTGTTGTTGGGGTGAAAAAAAAAAAGACATTTAACACAAACCATTAACTCTGTTACTTTTAGATTTAACACAAACTATAGGCTTCTTTACTAGTACCAATAAAAAAGTAAAAAAAATCACAAATTTTATTAGTTCTTCAACTGGCAAAAAAAAAAGAGATTTAACACAAACCAACAGTCATATTACTGATACAAGGGAAATGTTAAATCAAACACAAGTTTTATAATTCATAAATATATATATATATATATATATATATATATATA